CCTGAAGCAGATAGAGGCCGAGCACTTGTCTGCGTACAAGAGCTTGCAGTCAGAGCTGGCTTTGGGTCAGATGGACAAAGGCGAGTTTCTCGCCAACAAGCAGAAGCTTGAAGCTGCGTACGTTGGTGTGCTGAAGGAGTACCTGTCTGATGTTGAGTTCATGGAGTCGGACTTTTGTCTCGTGCACCAGCAGAATTGCTTCATCTCTCCTCGCCGCGACCTCGACCACCAGCGATCATTGTGGGTGGAAGCCAGTGGCAACACCTGTTGCCCTTGGTCGGCCATGGCAAGAGCCGTTCAAACGGGTGGATGGCTTGATGTGGCTTCTTTGCCGTTCATGGTCTGGTGCTTCAGCGTTCGCTTCTATGAGCCCGACCTGATACTACAGGAGAATGTGTGCCGATTTCCGGAGCAGGAGCTGCTTGCCATCCTCAATGACTTCTCCGACGGCGTCCTCAAGGATCTTTGGACGAGGCCTTTTGATGCAGAAGAAGGCACTCAAAGGTGCTACAAGATGCAAGTGCATTCGTTCTCACCTACAGATCTGGGAATTCCGAGCAACAGACAGCGTCAGTATGCTTCGTTTTCTTTGAGTCCGTGGGTGAAAATTGAGACCGGCGCCCTGACCTTCGAGGCAATCTTTCATCGTTCGCGACGAGTGGGGCCGGAAGTCTATCTCAATGCGGTGCCGAACTCGGTCTTGATCAGTGAGATAAAGAGCGAGGCAAAAAATCGTGGATGGGATGGCACCAAAGTCTTGACACAACATGATGCTCTGAGTACAGGCAACAGGGGCCGACTGGAGAGCTGGCAGTGCTGGGCCAGCAGAGGAACAGCACTGAGGGACAAGAATGGCGTGTGGCAGCATCGGCTGGCCTTGGCAGATGTTACACAAAATCCGCGATTCAAAAACAGAGTCGATGTGGACTACATGCCTTGCCTGCTGACGCACACGGTGCTTTGGGATCTTGTCACGGACTCCATGGTGCCGGTTATGGCTCACTGGCTGGCCCAAGGCTTTCCTCACCCCAGCGCTGTGCTTCTCAGTCCAGACATTGCCAGATCCTTCCCGTTCGACCCGAGCTTGATTGAATATGTATCCGAGAGAGCCTTGCCTTTGTCAGCTCAACGAATACTGACGGGCAATGCAATGCATGGGAGTTGCATAGGAAGCTGGTTCCTGTTCAACATGGTCGGGACAGACACGACCAGGATTCAGGCCCACATGGATAGTCCCGTGGAGTCTTTGTCGTCGCTTTGAAGTTTGAAGTTGTCGTGAATCAACCATCAACTAGCCATGTCATGATCAGATGTAATTCATGAGAGTCGCCTAGACTGTACAGTCGGATCGTGAAGCCAGGAGCTAGGCCTTCGTGTTGTCTGTGCCAAAACGGAAAGGAGTGCCTAACCAGGACGTGACAATCGGACCTATAAAATAATA